CTCCTCCTCCTCCTCCTCTCCTCATTGCTCATCTCTTGAAAGCAGGCCAACATCCCACACACACACACAATCATGCTCCCTCTCACTCTCTCCTTTTCTCTGAACAGCACTCTGTGCTAATTACTCTCCGTTGCCATAGCAATGGGTAGCACCTCTTTTTTTGTTATCTTGGATAGCCCATCGCAAACATGCCTCGCATCACATCATTCGACTGAGGCCGCGCTTTGTGTTGTTGAGTGGATGGATTTTATCTCGCAGCCGAGCAATCGGCATTCATCCCCAAATTATCGACAATGTATAAAAAAAAATTACGTTTTTGTTCTCTGATTCTAAAAGGACAAAACTCTTTTATATAATATAATAGTCATTTATAATTAGCTGTGATCTAATGTGCTTTTCAGGGAGTTATTTTGTGATGAAGAGATGTTTTTGCCTCATAAGTGTGTTTCTACCTGAGGGGGTTATGCCCTACATTTCCCAGAATGCCTTTCCACAGCTGGTTGTAGTGTAGGTAGGTGTAGCAGAGTAAGAGTTTTGCACCACTTACACAAAATGTCTTTCATTTTTGTCTCCTGAGGCGATTCCTGCTTCCATGAGTCCTATCTGCAATTAAAATTCTGTTCTTTTAAACACATTAAAGGCGCCGTAAGCCTATTTTCTTTATCAGCTTCTTCCTATGAGTGATGGGTTCCTACATGAACAGGCAATTTTCTGCCAAAGTGGGAGCAGTTTGGATCCTTTTGTATGCAAGATTTCTATATTATATATTTTTTTTCTGGGTTCCTCTCACTGATTGATATAGGCGGGGCTCAGTTGGAAAACAGTGATGTCATATATTTTTGGAACCAATCAAAATGCAGGCTTAAACTCTTAACAAATAAATAACCATGGATGTTTTTTCCAAACTTTAACTTAAATATTTGCTCATTTAGTCATAAATACATAATCTTATAGAAACATTTAAAGGGGCTTTTAAGTGTTTTTTCATTACAAATACATATACATATTTTTTTATTTGCTTTCCCAGCACTTCCCATTCAGTTTGTATGGGCATCCTTCCCTCACAGCTATAGGTCTGTGCTCTGGATGTCACACATTAAGGCTCCATATAAGCGAGTCACTTTGACACACGTTTCTATAAACGGGTAACCCTGAGACCGGTCAGAAAGCTACCAGGGGTGGTAAAACCAGGGCAGAAACCAAACCTGAGTGGATTCAAGGGGTGTGACTGCGGTAGCGCCTTTGGATCGAACCTGAAAGAGAGAGAGAGAGAGAGAGAGAGATTGAGAGAGATAGAGAGAGAGAGGCATGGAGGGGCGGAAAGAGAGCGATGGGCTGACAAAACACAAAAACAGGGGAGATTATCACGGCCCGAGTGGCCCTCGGTTCATTACTCATTAAACACACAGGAATGTTGCGTCTCTGTGGGGCTGAATGGAGCGAGACTTTGAGGGATACGTTTAAAACTTTAAATTCAAAGGCCCGTATTTCACTTTAAATTCCACTAACTTAGGAGAGAACAGGAATTCGCTGTTTGCAGGCAACTGACAGTAATACACATATATGACGTGCATAAATATTAGTAATAAACCCATAAAATGATGTTGTTTATGTAACATACATTTACTGCTAATTAATATTAATCTGTAACATTAAAATGTAGTTAAAGTTTAATTGTGCAAAATAAAAAGTAGGTTTAGCCTCTTTGCATGTGCCTTAACACTATCCTCAGTGACCCTAGATTTTATGAATGGGCAGAAGGAAGCTCTGCCATTGGCTGAGAGTGACAGCCAATCAGGGATGATCATTTGCAACAGAGATTGGAGCGGATGAATGCAGGAGTCAGACATTTTTAGAGGTCAGGGCCTGGTGTGTGTGCGTCTGTACTGTAGGGGTGTGTGTGTGTGTGTGAGCCTCACACACTGACCTACTTGGTTTATTGCAGGCGTCTATACATAGCTGTGGGAAACGCAGGGAGACAATCGGCCCGGTTAAAATTAGCAGTCAGGGCCACCTGTGTGCTTCTCACAAAGGCGGAAACGCCAGAGCAGACAGGGCAGAGATGGAGGGAACAGGAAGGAAGGAGAGGGGGGAGAGAGGGATGGGGGAGGGGAGGAGGGGGAAGATGGAGGGCAATTGATCACACTGCTGGTTTAACTCCCTTCTCTTCATGCTCTTTCTCTGCCTTTTTTTTTCCCCACTGCGACACAGGGAGAATTGCTTTGGCGGTCTGGATTGAGCAAGGAGGTTGTGGGGGTGGGGGGTTTGTGGTCCAGGCCCAAGCAGAGTTTCACATACCTTCTGCTGGATCGCTGCCAGATTTCACAGAGGGATGATAGGTGGAAGATATAGGATGAAGAAAGTAAAGACTATGCCAACACTAGTGTTCAGGAATGTTAAGTAAAAGGGTGTGAAAATGGCCCTCTGACGCCTGCCCCCCCGCCCCCCTGCCTCCCCTGCCTCCTCTTTACATATGTCACAAAACTCTTTACCCTGCCTTTGTCGTGTCACACAGCCAACAGGAAGTCTTCATGTTCTTAACCGATGAAGACTTCCTGCCCCAAAACTAGCATCTTGTTTCCTAGAATCACGATTTTTCAGCCCACACCCACTTTTGTTCCTGTGTGCCTCCGCCAAAGTAAGAGTTTGTGGGTAGAAAGTCAAAATGTTAACAGAAAGACAATATAACAGCAGCAATATATATAAATATATATAAAATCAATACTGCTTCAGGACACCAGAGAATTCAGCTCCTTTACTGCTTCAAAATGCAATTCAAATGCTGAATTTAAACTGTTGATTCTTAAATTTCCCACGGGGGGGTAAACTCGGCCATCTTATTGTCGTTTCACAGTCAAACTCCCTCATGTGATTAAAGTGATTCTTATCTCAATGTCTTTTTTTTTTCCAGGACTCTTGTCAGACCTCGAACGGCAGATGGACACTCCGGGGAAGGCGTGGAAAGTCTCCGGCGTCCATCTGTGGCACTCAAAATGGACGCTGCGACAGCACGGCTCAGGCGGCCATTCTTGGTTTCAGCACGGGATCAACGCTGAGAGAAAAAAGAGGGAGACGAGGAGGGAAATGGCAAGTTTGGCTTCTTTCCGCATGCCACCTCAACCTGCAAATGCTCTATTTAATTAATCTTCCCACATGGTGTGAACAGGCAGCACAAATCACCGATAATTATCCAAAGGTTAAATCTTTATCTGAAAAAAGTTAGCAAGAGTTAGTGACCAGGTTTACCATCTTAGTTTAGTTTCTGAGCCTGCTAACAGTTGCTAATTACCACTAAGTAAAGTACAGCTTAGATAGATTGGAATAGCATATGTTAACAAGTATTTTGTTATAAACCAAAGTATTGAACACATTAAAAGAGACCTGATGATGGCGCTACATGGAACCAACAGATGCTAGCACACGGCTAGCGTGTGTCCCCTGTAAGTTATTTTACAGGGAGTATTGTGTGTATTTAACATGTTAGCAGTCCAGCTGAAACCATAAGCGTCATTCTAACGCAAATTACTTTTAAGTTGTTTTAAAATCCATCATCTAAACCACTGTTTCCCAACATTTTAGACATACGTTGTTAGCCTTAAGAGGTAAATCCATTAACAAGTAACAAAAAAAAATGAAAGCAAAGTCTGAAAAACTCAGTTTTGTATAGCAGAAATGCATTATGTAAATATAGTTCCCCTTAGATTTAACTTGCAGTCTCTTGGCTGCACAAAACATCTATCCACTATGACTTTGCCATGTGGGAACAGATTGACGTGTCATTTTCCATATGAGGGATCTAAATCTACATCCTCACCCAGATGGTCAAACCTGCAGTGTTGCTGGACGTGTGAAAAGGGTTTCAACAGGTCCTATAGAGCTGGCGCACTGCTGATGAATCTTACATTGAACATATGAGTCCACTAAACAACCCTTTCACACAGAACGCCACATATTGGCAGAGCGTTTATAGGTGATGGTGCAAGTGGGAAAAGGGCTTCTGTCTGCTGTAATGTTAGAAACTCTTCCTCCTCTTCTGGTATTGTTTATATTCGAGCTGTATTACAGTATTCTGTGTTTTTGTTTGAGTCACATCCTCACCTGCATCCCATCAGCAGTGGCCAACACTGACGGCACATCCGATACCCGGGGAACCTGCTTATTTGTCACATTCCCTCTGCGTGAAGTTGTTTTCCTCCTCATCATTTCCCGTCTTGGCTGCAATTTGGCAGCCATTTTGGCTCCAGTCGGAGCTGCAGAGCCACAGGGCGTCCAGCGGTTGCTCAGTAGTCAGTGTAGATCCTGTGGGGCTGGCAGCAGCTACATCTGGCTACTGGGTCTCTGCTGGCGGCCATGTTAGTCAGGATACATAATGAGGACATTAAAGGATACTGTATTATTGCATTATATTTTGCAGCTTGTTACATTTAATGTAATGTACTGTGTCTAATATTTTTAGAAATATTTGGAATTCCTTTCTAACAAGATAAACGTTTTATATGTTTCTGTGTGTAGTTCACAGCCTCTTTGGGATCTTTTCAGCCACAGAGCTTTTAAGATTTCAAAGAAATGGCTCGAATGCCCACCTACTGCGAAGAAAAAAAAGCCCTCGGCAGAGTTAATCCTAGACTGCACGGGTAGTTTGGATGACAGCAGGAATTTTATGTGAAATAAAAATGTTTTTTGAGATTCTGGGTGAGTTCTGGACCTGGCATACAGTGTAGGATTCTGTGTGTGTCAGTCTACAGCTACATTGTCTGCTGGGTTTCAGGCCTGCACTCACACACATCGATCTCTATGATCTGTATCGTATATATTTTTGTATCATTCCAGATATTTACTGTAAATGACATGTCGAACGATTATATGGAAGTACTGTATGTTTGAAGAACCAGAAAGCATGGATAATTTGACAACTTTGTGTTTATTGACTCATCATAAAACATTCTTCAAACAATAAAACAATTTTAAATGTCCGTTTCTGTACAATGCTTGCTAAGCAATTTTATTTATATATAGAAAATGTAAGAGGAGTTGTGTTAAAATGACAAAACTCCTTCAAATTTAATGGCAGGTACTCTGGAAAAAATAACAGCATTCCATCAACAAATATTTTCAAGCAATAAATATGTATTTATAAATAGTGTAAATTTACATCAAGATTAGAAACATAACGAAACGAACAAAAAAAAAAAAATCACAAATTAAACTTTATTCCATAAGTCTATGTGCAACCCATTCTCTTTGTGACTTGGCTAGTAAGTTTTTTTTTTTTTTTACTTAATTTTTCCTTTTTTACCTAAGAAACAAAACATCATAGTTTTGAAAAGAACAAGACAAAGATAAAACGTAAAAGCTGTAAAAAAAGAAAAGAAAAAAAAAAATAAGGAAAAAAATCACCTAAACTCTTCACATTACAAATTTTTTTGGAGATTTTGCTGTCGAAAGAGTCTTAAAATTACTATCTACCATAGAAAAAGACCAGTTAGGCTAGTGCTCCTTAGAAGGAAAAAACAGAAGAAAAGTTTTGGGGGGAAATTCTATAAATCAAAGCAGACATTTCATCCTGTTACCAGAATAGAAAAAGAAATAAAGGGAGAGAGGGAGAGAGAAGGAGAGAGAGAGAAAGGTTGTCAAGTCAGTAGTCTTTTACGGGTGGTGTTGCCAGTTGTGACAGTTAACAAGTATCTACAAAACATTTTTATCACGCATTAAGAATCCCGCTCCTCCCCCTTGTCCCCCCCTGTTCCCAACCGTTTTTGATTAAGTCCTCCATTAAAACAGGGCGGAACCATTGTCACAAGAGGGGGCTGGGAGGGGGTGAGGGGGAGGGAGAGAAAGAAGTCCTGTTAGCGAGCTCGGTGGCGCCCCCCCCTCCCCTGGAAGGGCAAGGCTCCAGCACTTCAAAAAAACAGGTTGCATAGACAGACACACTCGGCCGCCTTAGCCTCCAGCCGTCGCTATGGAGACCAGCCATGTGGTGAAGGGGTGGGGAGACGGCCTTGGCTTTCCTGAATATCAGAAATGGTCCGCGTATGTAGATGTTTGTTTTGTTCTTTAGTTTTATCTTAATACAAGTTCCTGTAAATGGGCTTCATGGCTCCACAGCAGAAGAAGAAAGAGGCGTCACCTAATGTCAAGATGAAGATGAGTGAAGAGGAGGGGCCTGGGGAGGAAGATGATACGCGGAAATTAGTCAAGACATCAGCCAGAGGCTTTTTGCGGTCAACATGTTGATATCCAATACACAAGATAAGCAGTGTAAATTAGAAAAAGTATTCTATCACTGTTGTTAGCACTGTGTCTGACGTCTGCTCGCTGTTCTGAACCGCCACAGGCTTACAAACAAAGTGTTGCATGATAATTAGGCGCTATAAACATTTAGCTTTGAGCAAATGTCTGATGTAGAGTCAAGAGGAACCACACCCATCACCAGTCAACTTAGAAACTTTTATTTCATAACATCCCCGTCTCCTTGTGTGAGGTGTCTGTTCAATGGGAGGTGATTTTAAAAGCAGTTAGAATAAACCTGGTGGTGCAAAAAAATAAATAAAAATGTTTTTAACCTCTCAAAAAAAAAGAACACAAGTTGAATGAACGGATTCATTGGTTGACTGAAACTAGTCAATCACTAGTCTTTGTTTGGTTGGAATGAAAGCTTGCGGTCTCACACTCACACTCACACACTCACACACTCACACACGGTTGTATTTTTAAAACATCAAAAATTTTAATTAACATTTCAGATGAAACGATATTTGCTCGGTCGATTCACATAAATGTGCTGGAATTTTCTTTCAGTTTGAACGGTGAAACAAAGCGCCTCGAGTCCGCCTCGCCCTCCGTCCGGTGACTTACTAATGTGAACTGGTCGTAGACCTGCATCAGGTCGTCCATCCTGTGCTGCTCCAGCACCACAAAGTCGTCCAGCGTGGCGCTGCCTTTCCTGGCGCAGTCCTGGCAGTGGACCACGTACTGCTTCTTGGACAGGAGCTCGCGGCGCACGAACAGCAGGTTGAACACCTCCACCTGCAGGGTACACATTTGGTTTGAGTCTGAACGAAGCTGAGCAGCAGAGACTGCAGTGATGATGTCATCTAGTGACAAACCCTGGAGCTGCTCCGCAGACAGTGAATAACACGACGATTGCTTGGACACAATGACAGCAGACATTTAATGGGATATTCTGCTAAACAGCCCGAAAGCCATGCATTCAAATAAATCCATTAGCGTGCTCGTTAATTAGCTCAAACAAACACTGAGTCGGCCTTTAATTCAAGTCAATGGACCAACTGATCACAGGTCTTTATGTTGCCTAAACTCTCTCAGATGGAAAACTGCTGAATTGTAGCATAAATGAGTCAAATACTGACATCTATTATCCCCCTAACACATTTTCCAACAGCTTTAGACCAGCAGAGACACAACCAGGGGACACATACATGTAATCCAACATGTGCGGTCTAAGTACCATTCAGAACGGGAGCAGTTAAGGTGAGTCAATTATTTTTTTTAGACTACAAATAAGTGTGAGCTGCTTATCCAGAAATGTGAAATCTTGTTCCAATTTCACACCCCCTGATAACCGAAACGTTCCCGGCGAGCTGACTGACCTCACAGATGGTGCAGTAGTGGGCCGGCTCGTCCCTGGTCCTCGGCCGCAGCACCGTCTCCTTGCCGGCCGTCGCCAAGGCTTCCTTCACCCACTGGCACTGCTTCAAGGTCCGCAGCAAGCAGTACCTGTGACCAGAACACGCCGCGTCAGATTAAAAAACCCCGGCGTATAATACAAACAAACTGCTGAGGGCTGAAAGCGAAGGATTGCGTGACTCACTTGATCATCTCGAACAGCTTGTGGTCGGACACTTTGATGTTGCGTGCCATGTTCCAGGAGAGGTGCACCATGGGAACCATGGACTTGACGCTCTGGAGCTTATTCCACTCGTAGCGCTCCACCGCCAGCTTGTACTGGTGGGCTGGAGAGAGGCAGTGGAAACATACTGTACGTTACTCGCCGTGAACACAAGAAAGCAGGAGGTGCACTGAAGGATGTCGCCGTTGTATGTAAAAACTGACGTGTAGTGGGAGCTGTTATGTGTACAGCAAAGACAGGTTCACTGGTTAATATGGAAGCGTATTTGTGTCATACAGATGACTGGAAAGTGCACCTGTAGTGCATCTGTTGGAGACAGGAAATAAAATCCCGCTGTAATCAGCTCCCTTATCGGCTAAAAAGGTCACCAATCAGCGAGAAAGCATTTCAAACATCCCGCTAAAGGTCAGCATATCAGATATAATTCCTGTAACACAAAGCTGTGAATTGGGCCACTAAATCTACATACTTGTTGTATGCAGTATGTATATATTTTGTTGCCTTAAGTGGTCAAAGACAAAGAAAGAGGGAGATTCTAACGTGGTTTCTGCAGGTTTCAGTGGGTTCAACTGCATTATAAAGTGTAGGATAAATGCAATTTAAAGCCTATTTTACACCCCTACTGACAGAAGAGCACAAAGGACATATAGGAAAATTGGTATTGGTTCAATGTCAGTTTTGTTTTGCAGTTGTAACAGCGAGATCAATACCAAAGTTTCCCCAAAACACATTTAAAAGCAAGACTGAAACTACATAATCCAATCAATTTGTCAGACTTGCCAAAATCATTTAAAAAGACATTTTAAACTCTAAAATTCAGACTACTGAATTTGTCCTCTAGCTGCTTGACTGCCACTAACATTAACCCGTGTCCCACAATCCCCGGCGTACCGGTGAGAGGTCCTACGTTCCAGGCGATGTTGTTGCACCAGCCGATGGCCTGCACCCAGTGGACGGTGCCGGTGTTGAGCCACACCAGGTCTCCCGGACGCTGGATGAACCGATAGACGGGCACGTCGGCCTCGTACAGGTCCTCCAGGTTGGGCCACCACGAGCCCATCAGGAAGTTGATGTTGTTCCTGGGGGGTGAGACAGGCAGAGGGGTGATTAAGTTGGGAGTTGAGGGAAGGGGGTGAAGCATTTTATTTGCTTCAAGCAGCTTTATACACCCTCGTCTGGTCCAGCTTACTTTTCACAGAAGTTGCTCATCACTCCCCAGTACGGCTCTGGCACTGCAAACCACTCACAGTCCCCTGGCCCGATGTTGATGTTGACGGCACAGAAGTTATTGTGTTCCTGGTGACCTGCAGAGACAAACAAAACCTCTTCACTGCGCATATCACACCAAACATTGAACTGCAGGACTCATCTGTCCCAGAAAGAGAGCGTGACTTTGAGTGTGTGTGTGTATTCACCTGCTATCCTGCTCCCAGGGACCTTCATGTAGAGCTGAACGGTGTTCATTCCCAGGATGGTGTGACCCACGTGGCTGAGCAGGTTGCCGGCCGACACGACGCGAGCGAAGGCTGGCAGTTTGCTGAGCTCCTGGAGTTGCTGCTTCCACCTGGTAGAGAGCGAGTGAGACAACTGTAAGATCAGCTCTGAAAGACACGGCACATGAGGTGGCGAGAGGAGATCCCAACTCACTTCCTTTCGTCCGACACGTCGATGTTGGTTCCGAACTTGATGTGCTTTAAGGGGCCCCTTCTTTTGCGTGCAACACTGAAGACACACAGAGAGGATTTACATGAAAGCACATGCCAAAACTGAGACTTTTCTTATTTTTACAAAACGACATTAGGTACCTCTCTGCTGACGCTGGCTCTGTGTCCGAGGGCTCCTTTAATGACTTCTTCTCATTTTCCTCCTGAAAACACAGGGCACACATTAGGCCAGCAGCCACCAATTCAGATTTTCTGTATCCTTAAACCTTTCTGAAGAGCTGCAAAACTTGAATCCTGAATATGTTTTGTATAAATTGAATCCAAAAAGGACACAGATCAAGCTGAACTGACCCGTAGGGACTCCTGGAAGGAAGCGGCCTGATACTGGGCGTATTTGGCGATGGTGGTGTGGGCGCGGGCGCTCTCGCAGCGCCACATTTTCTTGCTGCCGCTCGGGTCCCAGTTCTCATCGGCGGGCTGAGAGAGCTGAGTCCAGACCTCCACCAGGTGCTCCGGGTTGGCCTCTACCAAGGTCTTTGTGGAGAACAGACCCAAGTCTGCAGAGCAACCAGAGCGGGAAATGAACACACTCACGTCTTTGTGATTGATAATGCTGAGGAAAAATACACACAATGCATTTAGTAAACAAAGCATTTACCCAGTTTGAGAGCTCCAGCCAGTCCTCTGATGACAGTGACGGGGTTGGAGGGGTTTGTGCAGAACTGGTGCAGTGGGGGGAAGAAAGCATCCCTCTTGTTCTCCAGCTGGAGACAGGAAACAGGAAGTTAAAGCATCTACTTTTATGTAGATCAGGCAAAAAAATAAATAAAAAGGTAGTCATATATGCACATGGATATTTAAAAAACGCGGCGGCCCTCTGGGTAATACTCACGTAGATGCTGGGCGTGGGAGGGTTGAGCTTGTCTTTGGGCAGGGCTGGTGACGGTGGAGGGGGCAGCCGGGGCGGGGGGCACTTATCGAGGAGGATGCTGCTGTTGGAGAGACCGTTCCTCCCCAGGTTCCTGCACATACAAAAAATGAGTTTTTTTAGTGCGAGCGGCAGAAGAGATAGAACACACGGAATATAAATCAGCCAGGGCGCAGAGGAATACCACAGCAGTGAAACACAGTAATGCTGGGTAGACCCGCTGTTCTGCCTCAGACTGAGGAGTGACTTACACATTGCAAAATGGTCAAAATGGAGAAGATATATGTTAATATAAGAAGTGAGTCATCACTGCAGTCAAAATGTTATTTGCCTTCCTTTTGCTGTATACTCTACCAAACTTAAATACAAAATGTGTAGTGCTATATAAACCCCCCTTTGTCTATAATCCTGAATATATATGATATATGTGGCTGTTATAAAGCTGTCCGGCAGCGATTTACGATGTCGATGTGCTCTTGCTTTTTGTTTTCTGTCAGAAAGATCCAACTGAATGATCTGCGCTGGATAATATCTGCACGGCAACAACACTGCCCAGTAGCCTTCGGTGTTGTTTACAGTTACATAACTGTTTGCCTCCGGTTCTGCAGTTACTCTGCAATTCCACTGGGAGGAGACATCTTCAAAACAAAGCCTTCAACACGGACCAGCCAATCCATTTAATACAGAGCGAAAGCCTTTTAACTTTCTCACAGATAGTCTTTGGGATTGAAGCGATGATAAAAATGACTATAGAAACCAGGCTAACATGGACATTTCCATAACTTGGAATACACAAAATAAAGTAACAAGTAAGTATCAAACTCAACTCACACCTGGAACGTTTTGGAGAATTTGGAGATTTCTATTATTTCAAAAAACTTTGCTTGGAATTAAAGTTTTACAGCATTTAGTGTTTGAGATGATGCCACCCAGTTCCACCAATCAAAACCATTTCTATGTGTACCTCGCACACGTTTTTAAACTCCCCGCCAGAACTGACCAACGCCTACATTTCAACTC